CTCCACTTGATACCGGTTGTCAGCTAGACATCAAGCCTGTCACTACTATCCTTTGAGCTGAACAATCCAGCCAGTTTTCTATCCACCTTACAGTCCATTCATCCAAGCTGTATTCCCTTAGCTTGCTTGCAAGAATGGTGTGGGAGACCATATCAAAGGCCTTGCTAAAACCAAGGTATATCATGTCCACTGCTCTCCCTGCATCCACAGAGCCAGTCAGGTCACCATAGAAGGCAATCAGGTTGGTCAGGCATGACTTGCCCTTGGTGAAGCCATGCGGACTGTTTCTAATCACCTTCTTTCCTTCTAAAGTGTTTAGAAATGGATTCCTTGAGGACATGCCCAAGAGGTAAGGATGACTGGTCTGTAGTTACCTGGATCCTCCTTTTTCCCCTTCTTAAAGATGGGCACTATATTTGCCCTATTGCAATCATCTGGGATGTCTCCTGATCATAACAAGTTTTCAAAGCTAATGACCAGCAACTCCGCAATAACATTGGCCAACTCCCTTAGCACCCTCAGGTGCATTGCATCCAGCCCCATGGACTTGTGCATGTCCAGCTTTTCTAAATAGTCTCTGACTTGTACTTTTGCCAGTATTGGATGCTCACCTCCTCCCCAAACTTTGCTGCCACGTGCAGCAGTCTGGGAGCTGACTCTGCCTGTGAAGACTGAGGTGAAAAAGTAATTGACTACTTCAGCCTTTTCTGCATCCTCTGTTGCTAGGTTGTTTCCCACATTTAATTAAATGCTCATAGTTTCCCTGATTCTCCTCTTGTTGATGACCATACTGCAGAAACCCTTGTTATCCTTCACATCCCTCGCTACCTGCAACTCCAGTTATGCTTTGGCTTTCCTGAATTCATCCCTGCATGCCCGAGCAATACTTTTATATTCCTCCCTAGTTGTTTGCAAATTTCCACTTGTTTTAAGCTTTCTTTTTGTGTTTTAGCTCATTGAAAAATTCCCTGCTAAATCAAGCTGGTCTTCTGCCATACTTGCGAGTCTTCCTGCATGTTGGGATTGTTTGTTCCTGTACCCTCAGTAAGGTTTCCTTAAAATACAGCCAGCTCCCCTGGCTTCATTTCCCCCCCTCAGACTGGGCTCCCAGGGAATCCTGCCCATCAGTTCCATGAGTGAGTTGTAGTCTGCTTTTCTGAAGTCTGGGGGCCTTACTCTGCTGCTCTCCTTCCTTCCTTCCCTTAGGATACTAGAATAAATAATCTCATGGTCACTGTTGCTCAAGCTGCCATCCACTTCTACATTCCCCACCACTTTTTGAAGTGATTAAAATTCTGAAAGGCAAAGGTGTGGATAATATCTAACTGAACAGAATGAAGAAAGTGGAGTATAAATGTAAACAATGTAAATAATCACTAATAAAGATTGCAATGATTAACATTATCAACTTTCAGTCCCATATTCACTTTGAATAATGTGCTGAATTCTGGTCAAACCTTAAAACAGAAAAAACAGAAATGAAAAATGTCAAAACAAGAGCAATGAAAATTATTACAGACAGAAATGAAGCAAAGAGAAGATAAAAAAGCTGTGACATGAGATAGCAATAAGGGCAATTGAGTTTTCCTATTCATGTTGATTATAATACAAAAATAAGGCCATATACAGATATTCAATTTCTCTTGGGAGAATCACTGCTCTCCAAGGAAAAACCAGGAGTGTACAGATGTTTAGGCTTTTTTTTCCCAGAGCATAAAATGTGTGCTTCAAGAAAAAAAATGACCCAGGGACAACTAGGGTTATAAACCCTCCAAGGAGAGTTTCTCCTGAAAGAATGAACATCTATACACATTCTCTTTTTTATAGAAGCCACAGCACAACTCCAGCATTCCAGGGTGTTTTGCTTCTCCCTCCCTACTTTCAAGGGCAGTGCATGTATCACTTGCTGGACTCTGCTGGTCCAGCCAAGCAGGGAATGGAGCACACCCTTTCACAATCCCACATTGAGCTACAGGGAGACACAGGTCAACCAAGCAGGGCTGTCTTGTACATTGCTGCCATTCTGTCTCCAGGAAGACTAAGGGAGCCTGCAGCACATACTGAGACGTGTGCACAGGGTTCCCTTGGCTGTATAGCATCAGCACTGCAAGCCTTCTGCTCTTCAAGGGCTCAGCCTTCAAATATATGTTTCGGTGTCCCCAGCTAACGAGGTAAAAAAAACCTGGGAAAAGTTTCCCAGATTAATTAAAAGTGTGTATGCAGTGTAAGTGAGCACTCAGTGAAATTAAAAGAAATACATTAGTAGTGATAAAAAGGTAGTAGGCATTTTTTTTATTAAAAAGGCCACTATTCATCTTATGGAGCTCAGTACTACCTTCAGATTTGTGAAGTGCCTCATAAAACATTGACACTTTAGGGGAAGTGGGAAGGATCCAGTTAGTATTTATGAGTTTTTGAAATACCTCTTTTTACAAAGCTACATAGCAACTTTATTTTTGCTATCCAATAAAAAGAAAGGACTGATCTAAAATATGCAGCTGTGGTCCCAGGATGACTGAATGTTCCAAACCATTGACTAATATGGCAACCCCTACACAGTGGAAGCCAGAAAAGACTTATTCTGTGAATGAGAATTGCAGAACTAGAACTTTATGGTCAGTCTATTCTACCTCCTCATATATCTGCACACACGCATATATAAGACTATTGATTCTGTATATTTGTGCATGTGCACACACACACATATGTATGTACATACAAACACCTAAGATTTGCATGCAGAAATCCTAGCATTGATTCATAATTTGCTGTTTGACAGCATCCCTCAGTTCCACCATCTTTACTCATTGTTTTCTTCAGATCAAATAAGCATGTCAAATTTATTAATGTCTGAATTACCGTATTTACTCGAATAGAAGACGATCCTGATTATAAGACGAGCCCCCCCAAATTAGATTATATATATGGAAAATTAATAAATTTGTTATAGTTTTCCTCGTATAGAACCTAATTATTGGAGGTTTGCCTTGAATTTGTCCTCCCCTCTCTGCTACAGTAGGGAAAAAAATCTGGGGGCTCAGGTAGCCCTTAGTTCTCTGCTTCCTCCCAATTTTTTCCCCTAGCTGTCCCTTCCCCCTCCCCTTACTGTCAGACCCTGCTCTCCTTAAACATGTGGAAGTGAGGAGAAAATGTGAACATAATAACCTTGCAATTAAACATGTCTGCAGCAATTTGCATATAGTACCCATACAGTTATATCATCCAGAATTGATGCACTGTAACAGGTGCTGGGTGCACCTGTTACTTTAAGAAGGGAGAAGACTGAGGAAGGAGTTGAGGCAGCAGGAAGGAGACCATCTGACCAGAAAGGGGAGGAGCTTAACTGGGAGATAAGCTGAGGGCCAGAGCTGTTTCAACCTGACTGCTGACATGGAAGGAACTCCTGAACAAGCAGCAGAAAGAAGGAGACAGGGGTTAAGAGAAGGCAGCCTTAGAACCACATAGGGTTGGGTGGTTTAGGGACTGAGACAAGGGGAGGTGGTGGTCTCAAGAGGCCCAGGAGCAGGGCCAGAGCTTGGGAATAGAGTGGAGATGGGACCAGAGAAAGTCTGTTGCCTGGGGCAACCAGGAGGTCTGGTGCCCAGGAAGGACTAGGTACCCAGCAGTAGTCAGAATGGCCAACAGAGGTGGGCAGACAGAGGCAGCAGCCTGAGTCCAGGAAGGGGCAAGTAAGATTGATGGGACAGGGACTGCAAATACCAGCAGTGGTGGAGACTGGGTCTTGGTACAGGCCTAGGAGTGGTGATAATTGAAAATATCTGTGAGGCATGGACTTGATGTAAGGGGTGTTTGGAGACCTGTAATAAGCCCTTAAGGTGCTGAGTAGTGACACCTGTACAGGAGCAGGGATCTCTGCGGCAGTTAATAACAATGAGGCGTGGCAGAAAATGTGAAAGGGAGAAAGCCTGAGGGGCAGAGAAAGGGCCAAACAGCCACTACAGTGCATCGTGGTGACCCTTGAGTCCAGAACTTGCTGCATTCACGTAAAAATGTTTTAAACTGCTACACGTTTTAGCACAGGTGTTTCATAAACACAATTCTGAGCACACATTAGCACCTACTTATATCTATCATAAACTAAGCACTGCCCAATGCCAAAAGGGTTATTATTTACCACACAGTTCACTGGACTGCATTCTACCAGTCAACAGCATTTTATGACATGGTGAGCCACAAAATTGTGTTCAGTTCACCCAGAATCCCTCTGTCACACCCTCTTTCAGTCTGGCACATATGATTAATGTGACCCCACCCTCCACAGTGATCCCACATCTCAGCAGTGTTCAGTATATGTATATACTCCAGATACCTACAAATGATCCATATGCTAATTCGCCTGCACTCATAACTGGAGCCAGGTGTTCCTTTCACAAATCCTTGGATGCTCCAAAAATGTATATGCAAATGAAGTGCAGGGCAAGGTGGTCCAGATTCACTATTGGAGGGCAGGGCCACACTAATCATATGTGCCAGGCTGAGAGAGTGGCTGACAGAGGAATTCTGGGTGTGCAATGTTTGTGGCTCACTATGACTTGAAAAAGAGTTGGCGGTGAGTGGGACTGCTCTTAATGGCACTACCACACCCACATGTATTATTCAGATGGGGTATTCAGATCTTTGTGGTAGGTTCCCATCAGCTTATTTTCCTGATGTGGGCCATGTGTTTTATAATCATGCTCAGTATTGGCAACATTTAATCAACTTCATAGTTAGTCTTCATTGCCAAGCACATGCTGGTTTTAGACAATCTATTTAATGAGATTTCTTGGTATGTAATAATAATAAAAGTGGCTTTCCCCCCCCCCCCCATGCCAATGGGGGGGGAGGGATCCTCGTCTTTTATTCGAGCAAATATGTTACTGTAACTACTTCCGTTCTCAGCCCTTTAAAATTAATTAAGCATATCAAAACTGTCCATGTATTAGTAACTAGTCTTACATATAGCAGGTACAATAAAGGGTTTAATAAGAGTTTCCCACCTGACTAACACAGCTGGCCTGGCTAAGTGTGCTCACTGCTCTCATATAGCTCTGATTCCTTGAACGGAACTTTGGAGAATTGTAGTTGGCAGAGGGATCCAGGTTGTGAACCCCAGGCACATCACTTGCAGCTTGAAG